ATAACACCCTGGGGAACAGAACAGTGGCCAGAACACCCTGGGGAACAGAACAGTGGCCAGAACACCCTGGGGGAACAGAACAGAGCAGTGGTCAGAACACCCTGGGGAACAGAACAGTGGCCAGAACACCCTGGGGAACAGAACAGTTGCCATAACACCCTGGGGAACAGAACAGTTGCAATAACACCCTGGGGAACAGAACAGTTGCCATAACACCCTGGGGAACAGAACAGTTGCAATAACACCCTGGGGAACAGAACAGTTGCCATAACACCCTGGGGAACAGAACAGTTGCAATAACACCCTCGGGAACAGAACAGTTGCCATAACACCCTGGGGAACAGAACAGTGACCATAACACCCTGGGGAACAGAACAGTGGTCAGAACACCCTGGGGGGAACAGAACAGTGGTCAGAACACCCTGGGGGAAACAGAACAGTGGTCAGAACACCCTGGGGGAAACAGAACAGTGGTCAGAACACCCTGGGGAACAGAACAGTGGTCAGAACACCCTGGGGAACAGAACAGTGGTCAGAACACCCTGGGGGGAACAGAACAGTGGTCAGAACACCCTGGGGGAAACAGAACAGTGGTCAGAACACCCTGGGGGAAACAGAACAGTGGTCAGAACACCCTGGGGAACAGAACAGTGGTCAGAACACCCTGGGGGAAACAGAACAGTGGTCAGAACACCCTGGGGAACAGAACAGTGGTCAGAACACCCTGGGGGAAACAGAACAGTGGTCAGAACACCCTGGGGAACAGAACAGTGGTCAGAACACCCTGGGGGGAACAGAACAGTGGTCAGAACACCCTGGGGGAAACAGAACAGTGGTCAGAACACCCTGGGGGAAACAGAACAGTGGTCAGAACACCCTGGGGAACAGAACAGTGGTCAGAATACCCTGGGGAACAGAACAGTGGTCAGAACACCCTGGGGGGAACAGAACAGTGGTCAGAACACCCTGGAGAACAGAACAGTGACCATAACACCCTGGGGAACAGAACAGTGGTCAGAACACCCTTGGGGGAACAGAACAGTGGTCAGAACACCCTGGGGGAAACAGAACAGTGGTCAGAACACCCTGGGGAACAGAACAGTGGTCAGAACACCCTGGGGGAACAGAACAGTGGTCAGAACACTGGGGAACAGAACAGTGGTCAGAACACCCTGGGGAACAGAACAGTGGCCAGAACACCCTGGGGAACAGAACAGTGGTCAGAACACCCTGGGGAACAGAACAGTGCCCATAAGTTTGAGAACCATCTGAACAACCTACAACAGCAACACACAGTTACCCAAGGCGAAACAGACCAACATAGAACAGTGACCATACCAAACAACATTTGGAAAGAGACCAACATATAAGCATTGTATGTACTAGCTCTATCTATAAATCCATCAACTTTTGTATCTTACCTTGTATGTATGTACCTTACCTGAATAAAGATTTATTATTATTATTATTATTATTATTATTATTATTATTATTATTATTATTATTATTATTATTATTATTATTATTATTATTATTATTATTATTATTATTATTATAAGCTTTACCTCGCCTCCTGTCCGTTGTCAACAAGCAGTGTCTCTGTTTCTGCTAGATCTGATCAATCACTTACACGTGACATGCTGTCTTAAAGCATTTTCCCGTTTGTGTTTCCGTGTTTACATCTTCCCCGCGTCTCGGCGTCTATATAACCATGTTTCAGATGTATTTAAGGTACCATGTGAATGTTAAGGTTGACGATGCATTATGTAAATATTGGAGTTTCAGAGCTGTGCGCTTTGAGCTGTTTCAAGTATCGAGATATCATGTTAGTGATATTTATGGGGTGCAGTCGGCGAGTCGTTATCGTGTTATCAGTTTCAGGAATCTAGTTCAAGTGTTTTGTAGTGTTTGAGATTCAATTTAAGCTTGTTTCCAGAGTAGTGTCCCCGTTGAGCAGTGGCCATTGGTCCGGATTCCCGCAGAGGTGGTGATGGGTCTAAGCTGCTTCCACCCACCAACAGAAGAGCAGAGACGACACACAACTTGGGTCATGTGAAAATAAAAGGCGCACTATAGGTACAAAATGTTAGGAGGCGAGGCATGAAGGACTAACACCCCCCCCCCCTCCCCCTTCTCCGTAATCAATAACAGGCAACCAGTGCTACTAGGTAGGCACATTCCATATGGCTATATAGGATAGTCTCATAAACGCTATACAGTATATTATGATCCTATACCATATGCAATTAAAGATTACTCCATATCTTTATCTATAAATTAGAATGTCCAGAGTAGGAAGCTTGGCGCTAGCCTCATCCATCTTTCCAAAATGACACATAGGGGGTATGTGAGTGTCATAAGCCAGCCGGGATCGGCCCTAGTTTAAGAAATATCGACATCTATAACGGCTTCCTGTGATTTTCAGGGTCTGAAATCGGGGATGTGTTTTCTGTGAACTTTTAGCACTATTTCTGTGCTTCGTAATATTAAACTATTGACGTACAGCCTATTCGTTCTCGTGACATTGCTTTCACACAAGTCCTGACAAAAATAAAGGTTATTCCCCAAAACGGCCACCAGAGGAATACGCTGCCATGTTTCATTAGAATGATTTGTGTTCTAAACTGGCAAGTGTTGCATACAAAGAACCGATTTAGTTTTTGGAAACGAAATGTCAGTCAACAAAACATATTAAAAGGTCAAAGTCCTAACTAGCAGCCCAGTACTGAGGACACAGTATAAAATATCATGAAGTGTAAGAATGAGACCTTCCGAGCCATCTGGTACTGCTCTGGTATTTACACAAAGCCAAAGACATGATCACCACATACAAAATTCTCAGGGGAATTGACACGGTGGACAAGGATGGATTATTTAACACGGGTGGCACACGCACAAGGGGACAGGGGGTGGAAGCTGAGTACCCAAATGAGCCACAGAGACATTAAAACTTACTTTTTCAGTGTCAGAGTAGTTAGTAAATGGAATGCACTAGGATGTGATGCGGTGGGGGCTGACTTCATACACAGTTTCAAATGTAGATATGACAGAGCCCAGTAGGCTCAGGAATCTGTACACCAGTTGATTGACACTTGAGAGGCGGGACCACTTGACAATAGACTTGAGAAGAATAAACTCAGCCTGCATGATAGACAACCAGTCTACCATCCAGGAAGAGAGTAGTCTACAAAATCAGTTCAGTCACCAGCAAATTAAGGTTTTGGTTTGATGTCTGTGGACGGCGCTGGAAGGAATACAAAGGCACTTACTGTATCCAGGAACTGGACCTCAGTGCTTTTGTACAAAGTACATGCAAAAGCCCTCAAACAGCAGCAGACAATGGAGGCCATTCAAGGTGTGTAGTGGATAAAAAAAATCAAAATCTATTTGTAAACATATATACAGTATTGTCATCAATTATTTGATATACTAATTGAAGACCCCTAACCTAATTAAGACCTGCCTGTATACAAAATACTAATTATAATTTATATATGAGAACTAGTTGCCTGAGGACGGGTTGATCTCAGAGACTCTGAGATCACAAAATATTTTAGGACAGCAATATCTGAGTGGATCACTTAAACGTGCAAGATTTCATTCGAGTGTCTGTCTGTTGAACACATGTTATCATGGTCTTTTAACATACACAGCAACCAGCGCATAAAATTATCAGCCTTTGATACAACATAATGAATGAACGTACTAGAGAGAAGCAACACGTCACGCTGCCTGAACAATGTACTAGATCTGTCCAAGATCAGATATTATGTACCTCGCCCTGCCCTGGTGACGCTCTATTACTCCCTCATCTATCCATATCTCAACTATGGTATTTGTGCTTGGGGTTCTACTACCCAAAATCATTTACGTCCTCTAATTACTCAACACAAAGCTGCTATTAGGACAATATCTAACTCTGGCCCCCAGACATCACTCGGTACCTCTACTCAAATCTCTGAATATGTTAGATATTAAGTCACTGCACATTCTCTCATGTGTATTATACATATATAAAACATTGAACTGGAATGCCAATCCTGACCTCAAACGCTTCATTGAAGGTTGTAACAGAACCCATGAGCACCACACCAGAAACAAATGCAGTTTTGATATTCCAAGAGTACGACTTAATCAAACTAGAAATGCTCTACAAATCAAGGGACCCAGAATGTGGAATGACCTTCCCAATCATGTTAAAGACTGTACCTTTCTCAACCAGTTTTAAGATAAAAACTAAGCACTACCTAATAAATTCCCTGTAACCTACCTTACCTCCCTATTGTCAACCAATGTCTGTTTTTTTTTTTAACAACGCTGTTTGTCGACCTAATTGTATTTGTGCTGCTTTTTCTGCCATGTCCCCCCCCCTTTTTATTTTCATTTTTATTTGTTCTCAACACATTTTATACTTTAATATCAATTAGTATTAAGTTTTAGTCTTTAATGTTTTTCCTGCCCCGAAACGCTTTGCGTAATAGTGGCTTTAGGCATTGTATGTACTAGCTCTATCTATAAATCCATCAATTTTTGTATAACCTCTTGTATGTATGTACCTTACCTGAATAAACATTTATTTATTATTTTATTTAGAGAGAAGCAACACGTCACGCTGCCTGAACAATGTACCAGAGAGAAGCAACACGTCACGCTGCCTGAACAATGTACCAGAGAGAAGCAACACGTCACGCTGCCTGAACAATGTACCAGAGAGAAGCAACACGTCACGCTGCCTGAACAATGTACCAGAGAGAAGCAACACGTCACGCTGCCTGAACAATGTACCAGAGAGAAGCAACACGTCACGCTGCCTGAACAATGTACCAGAGAGAAGCAACACGTCACGCTGCCTGAACAATGTACCAGAGAGAAGCAACACGTCACGCTGCCTGAACAATGTACCAGAGAGAAGCAACACGTCACGCTGCCTGAACAATGTACCAGAGAGAAGCAACACGTCACGCTGCCTGAACAATGTACCAGAGAGAAGCAACACTCACGTCAGTGTGGTAGATCAGAGGGAAGGGCAGCAGGAGGATGGGGACCAGGAGCACCACCAGGGACTTCCAATATGGCGACACGTGACGCCTCCAGAACTCGCCCATCGTCATCTCTGCCGAGGAAACATAACACTGTCAACATGCATCAACATTAATTCGTGTTGTCGGGGACAGGAAGCCTGTGTGTGTATATGTACTTTAGGCTTATATCGAGGTCTCCCTCCCCCCCTCCCCCCAACAACAGTTGCTTAACTTCCAGTCACCTATTTACTGATATGTGAACAGCCGCATTAGGTGAAAGGGAAAGGTGTTGAACCATTTCTAGTCCAACCCTTTCAGTGCCGCCAGGATTCGAACCCAGAATTTTCGTTTGTGAGTCGAGAACGACCCCGACTGTACAACCGGGAGGACCCTGTACCTAGTTTTTTAGTTTAATTCATTTATTATGCACCCCATACCCATCTTGTGGGGCCTACAAACATTAGTCAGGTGTAGTGGGCATGGCGTATTGGGCACTGATGTTATCGTTAACATCTTCGCGTTCCGGTCTTGGTCTCACTCTCGTGGTGGGTAGAGTGCTCTCACTCTCGTGGTGGGTAGAGTGCTCTCACTCTCGTGGTGGGTAGAGTGCTCTCACTCTCGTGGTGGGTAGAGTGCTCTCACTCTCGTGGTGGGTAGAGAGCTCTCACTCTCGTGGTGGGTAGAGTGCTCTCACTCTCGTGGTGGGTAGAGTGCTCTCACTCTCGTGGTGGGTAGAGAGCTCTCACTCTCGTGGTGGGTAGAGTGCTCTCACTCTCGTGGTGGGTAGAGTGCTCTCACTCTCGTGGTGGGTAGAGTGCTCTCACTCTCGTGGTGGGTAGAGTGCTCTCACTCTCGTGGTGGGTAGAGTGAAATTCCGTTATTTAAGTATTTATGGTAGGTTGTTCGACTTTTATATGACGGGCATCAAGATTAAAAATTCTTGAAGCTCAGTCAGCTGTCAGTCAGCAAATCAAAGTTGACCTTTGATTTGCATCATTAGCCTACTGAGAACAATTCTCTCAAGGCAACCCGTCCTCCTAATAGCACGTCGCATTTTGACGTATACTTTACCTAAGGCCAAAATTTGTCGTACTAGAAAATGGTAGCGGCTCGCGGAATTGACATATTGTCCCGTTTCTATCATGTGCCTCTGTAACCCTTTCCACTACCGCCCACAAGATGGGTATGGGGTGCATAATAAATGATCTTTCTGTTTGTGGATCCTCTGGTAGGTTAGGTTAGGGCACTTTAGTAAAACAGTTTTTTGACGTGAACGCTCACAAGAACAGGCAGACCAAGGACTTTGCACCTGCAAGAAGTTGAAGGTATCGGCATAAATTTGTTTGAGTTTGGCCTTGGTATATGGATTATGAGGCTCTGCGTCCAATGATCTGTTGTTGCTTAAGAGTCGCTACTTGGAACAAAATGTTCCAAGTAGCACGGGCTCTGGCGAGCCCGTAGTGGATTGGTAAGGACTCCTCGGCGTAGACTTTGTACAATTCCAGCAGCGGACTGGAATGTATTTCGGCAAGAAGCCTCAGGGGACTGTATGTTATGCCATCGTCTCCAGAAGTTGTTCTGTCCTTCTTGAGTGCAGTTTCAAGCTCAAAACTTTAGATATCATAAACATCATCTGGACCCATTTCACTACAGGCAATCTCAATATTAAAACGCTGCCATGGTGGTGTGTCCCCTCACAGGATGAGTGCAGCTGCCTAATAAACTTGCCCCTCGGGACAAAACTAAACTTATTACCATTAGTACTAGCAAAATGATAATGATGCATATTTTTGGGCAGATTCGATATGCTAGCAGTGATTCCTTACTGTTTTTAGCAGTATATGTCTACATAAGCTGTTGGGGAGCTTTAAGAAAGTTGAGGGGATATTAGGTTTGGATATAATTTTGGCCAACATTTGAGCCGAGGGTGTTGCATGATTGATGCCATTTAAAAATGGTTTCTAGTATTGACTACGTATATATATGCTCTTTCAGTTTCCTGAAACCGCGGTTAGTTTGAAAAAATGCATTGAGGGACTCTGTTGTTACGTGAGCTCTATAATGCTTGGCAACATGTAGCACATGATCATTGATGGAGTCCAGGCGCGGGTCACACAACCACTCTGTCCTCCATTTTTAGTTTCTTGGTCACTTAGGTTTCACCCATGTTACAAAGTAGTGAATTACTTCATTAACAAGGACCTTGTTAATGTATTGTTATATTGTTAATTACTTCATTAACAGTATACAGCACTGACATTGGTAAATGTATGACTGATGTCAATCGTATATTTTGCGCTTGAAGTGTATATGTAGATTGTCAGGGATGTTTACTGTTGTCCTTTCATAATGTGATTTAACATATTTCAATGTGTATGTGCTAAGTATGGCATGATGATCGTTAATTAATTCTTGCACTAATGATCCGTGGACATGGTTTAAGAGACCATGACCAATTACATAATCATGCCTTCCACCTGAAAGATGGGTTTAGATAAAGGGAATTATTAAGGGGAAAGCGACAAGTCATTACGACTATATAGCACTTGAAAGGGATCAGGATAAGGATTTGGGATGGGACGGAGGGAAGAAATGGTGCCCAATCACTTGGACGGTCGTGGATTGAACGCTGTAATTAGGGAAAAGGTATGAGTGACGTCATTAGTACTAATGAGAGTTTTGCTTCTCATTTAGCTAATGAGTTTGGAGCGAGTATATTGATTGATTATACTCGCTACAGTTGTTTGGTGAGGACATGACAGTGTGAGTTGTAGAGGCTTAGTTTTGTAGTGGAAGATGCTACTTAACTTATATACTTTGTATTATTAAATTCCCAGTTGATATTGTGGAGTGCATTTATGAGGCTGCTTATTGTGGCTTTGCTGTGCAGTCTGAAGGTTAATTTCTTGGTATCCGATGGTGTTATGTCCATGTTTGCTATGAGGAAAGTAGGATAGTAGTCTGTTGTTCTGTCAGTGATTGTACCACAAATATTTGTCACCATTCTGAAAATAGAAAATTTACCTGATCAGGAAGTCCGACGGATCTGTGGTGAGCCAATTATTCAGTAATTGGCTATAGTAACTATATATTTCTGGTCACTGGTGAAACCATAGTAACACCAGCCCGAGAACGGCTGCATCACCCACCCACACTCTTCCCCAAGACTGCTGATACACCTCTCAGCCGGCTGATATATATACATATATATATATTTAAGTATATCTAAGATCGTTCTTATCAACGTTGATTTCTTTCAAAAATGTTCATCTCAATACGACTCACGTCTAATGATACAATCACTTTTATACAGTAGCAAATACAACTCTGGTTGGTAGGAGGCTACGGCGAGTACTAAGAAATAATAGTTTACGTCCAGACACTTACATAAACGCTGTCACAAGTCTTGTATCTTATCAAGATTCGACAGATTGAGATCTATTTCTAGTTTTTAGGTCAACAGAGTATTGCTTCAGAAGTACCTGAACCAGTATAGCCTTTTTAATACAGCCCGTCCTCATTACGGCTAAATGGTCATTTATCCGGCAGAAAACACTTTACACATAACTTCAACTGGTCCTCCGACTAGGCTCGTTAAAGCAGCGACCTCCACCCCCCCCCCCAAGACCCATTCAATTTTTTATGTATTATGCATTAAAAATAAGTTTTTTATGTGTAATAATACATATTCGAGTTCTTTGTGTAGTGAGACATAGGGTAGGTAGGTTAGGTGTTTAGGTTCTGTTGGCAATTTGTATTTACAGTACATGGGTGAAGCATGTACAGTATACACAGAGTTGCGATTCAAACAGAGGACATCAACGAAGCACTGTTCAAGAATCCCCCCCCCCCCTCCCATGTGCCTCTACTTTTCCAACCCGTCCTTGACTTAAGTCCATTACATCCAGTGGTCGACCACAGACGCATACATAAATTTTTACATGCTGTTCATTCAAAATGGGAATTTTCTCAAATATAAATTAATATTATAATACATTAGCATATCGTGCATATATAGGCATAGGTTAGGTTAGGTGTTTAGGTTCTGTTGGCAATTATTTGTATTTGTAGTCCCCCCTCCCCGCTTAGCTCGTTGTCGCCGTGAGGGGGGCTTAGTGAGCGGCTGCCGGAGTGTGATGCTCCTTGGGACAGTCTTCTGTCCTTTTCTAGCCTTGTGCTCCTGCTGCCGTCCCTTCCAATTGTGCTGAGCACCTTTTCCTTTTCCTTCTGTTTCGTTTTTCTCCCCCCTCTTCTCCTATCTGCTTGCCGTTTCCTGCCGACCTTTTGCTTGTTTTGGTTATTCCTTTGGACTTTTTTTTTTTTTTTTTTTTTTTTTTTTTTTTTTTTTTTGAGATATATACAAGAGTTGTTACATTCTTGTACAGCCACTAGTACGCGTAGCGTTTCGGGCAGGTCCCTGGAATACGATCCCTGCCGCGAAGAATCGTTTTTTCATCCAAGTACACATTTTACTGTTGCGTTAAACAGAGGCTACAGTTAAGGAATTGCGCCCAGTAAATCCTCCCCGGCCAGGATACGAACCCATGACATAGCGCTCGCGGAACGCCAGGCGAGTGTCTTACCACTACACCACGGAGACTGACACCACGGAGACTTCTTCTGTTTTGACGCCCGGGTGCTTGAGGAGGCATACTCTTGCACCCGTAGAACTGTAGTACCCAACGTCTAGATTGATTGATAAAGATTAAGCCACCCAAAAGGTGGCACGGGCATGAATAGCCCGTAAGTGGTGGCCCTTTTGAGCCATTACCAGTATCAATAGATGATACTGGAGATCTGTGGAGGTGCGACTGCACCCTGCGTGACGGGAGATGGCTCCCGTGCTGATCAAGATTGATTGATTGATGAAGATTAAGCCACCCAAAAGGTGGCACGGGCATGAATAGCCCTAAGTGGTGGCCCTTTTAAGCCATTACCAGTATCAAGAGCTAATACTGGAGATCTGTGGAGGTGCGAATGCACCCTGCGTGACGGGAGATGTCTCCCTTGTGAATGTGTTAAGATGAAGATGAAGCCACCGAAAAGGTGGCACGGGCATGAATAGCCCGTAAGTGGTGGCCCTTTTGAGCCATCACCAGTATCAATAGATGATACTGGAGATCTGTGGAGGTGCGACTGCACACTGCGTGACGGGAGATGTCTCCCATGCAACGTCTAGAGCGAGGGGAACCTTTTATTGTCAATCCCCCTTTCGTCACTGAACCCGATCTCGACAGACTGTCGGTTCTTAACACTTTCGCGCTTAGGATTATCCATGAGTCGTCACCGTTTTTTATGCGTCACCGCATAACAGACGACGCCTGTAGTCCATCGAAAAAATATTTGTATAAAATCCATTTATTATCCGATCAACTTGGGAAAAGTATACAAATGTTTGCCATGAAATTTACGTTTTTTCTAATAGCCGAACAGCTTAAAAAAAACGGTGTGGCAGTGAATCATCGTGGTAAAACAATTGTATTATTGACACGACGAGTGTAATCGACGTAGTTTTTATATATGTTGCCGGTCGAACGCATCCTTATGTGACCTTTAATACTTATGTTCTTATAGAACATTCTATTGCGAGCACATTGGTACAAAAATGAAATACATACATCGACAAATAATGTCAGGACAGTGAATTGAATATACACTTTTCAAAGCGAGTTTCGCCGATATGCTGCCCCGGGTAACACTTCGGCCACTTCCCACATTGTTTTGGGTGTGCTACGACATTAAATCTATATTTATATGCATATGTCCGTGTAGAGAATTTTATTGCGATTCCAATGATACCACAATTAGCGATGTAGGACAACTGTAGGCTTCGCAACCATTAAGAGAGTGAAAACATTTTGTTGCTGTTTGGCGCTCTTGGCGAGTGATCTGAATAGTTTTTTATTTGGTGTTGACAGTCCTTATGCTTGGGCGGCATTTTATAGGTATGCTCTTATAGACAATTTCATTGCGAACACAGTGATACCAAATTTAAATACGTGCGCCTTCAATTATTGTCAGGACAGTAAAAAGAGTGTACACTTTTTCGGTCTTTCCGCATAGGCGCGCGAAGTGCCGAAAGCATCTGGGGTATTGTTTTTTTTTGAGCGCCAAGAGCGCGAAAGTGTTAAGGTGGCGTTTGTGGGGCGTATACTTGTTCCGAACATTAATGGAATCTGACCCATATATCAATCAGGTCAACCCATGTGTTGCGTTTCCAAAAGGGTCCCCCATGTTAGAATCGGTGAACGCCCTAGTAATATTGTTGAAAACATCTTAATAACTTATTAAACCAAAGGTCTTTTTATGTCAGAAGAACGGCAGAAACTGGATCTATATATGAAAACTCTTTCAGGACAAAATTTAAAGTAAAACTAAAGATATTTATAGTTGTATAAAAGTTGCATTTTTCATCGGTCGTAGAGCCGGAAATCCGCAATATTCATTTCAGAACAATGCTTATTTCACGCAGAATCGTTAATAAACGTAAGATTTTTATACGTCTCAAGAAAGATAGAAACATAATCTTCATTTTAAATGCCTTACCATGGACATATTTGTATTTAAAGCGAAGATACGTGTATTTTTCTAATCGGCGAGCTCCGATCCCGCACAGATCGAGCAACGGAGTAACTCTCTCTCAGAACAATGCTTATTTCACGTAAATTCGTTAATAAACGCAAATGTTTTTATATGTGTTGAGAAAGATAGAAATATAAGCTTCATTTTAAATACTTTACCATAGATATATATAAAGCTCAAGTGAAGATACATACGTTTTTATAGTGGCATTCAGTAGCTTATCGGTCATGGAATGCAGAAGCGTACGCACTTGCCAATATAGTATGTAATTAACAAAGATACGCTTATAAAGCCTAAAATATTATATGCCTTCAGAAAGACAGAGATATGCTCGTTATTGTGAGTGCACCAAAGGAAATATATCTTGTTGGAGGACAAAGATATATCAATTCTAAAATAAGTTTCGACTCTCGCTCGGGCGAGAGATAGCGCGACTCTCGCCCCATCTATTGGAGATTCTGTTCACCAAATTTATTTATTTATTTATTTATTTATTTATGCATATACAAGAATGTACATAAGGAATGTGAGGATACAATTATGGTAATTACAGTCTTGTAAAGCCACTAGCACGCGCAGCGTTTCGGGCAGGTCCTTAATCTAAGAAAATTTTAAGGAGGTAAATACTTGCAAAATTTATAGACAAAAAAATGATAACAGATTACATGAAATGAAAAAAAAAAAAAAAAAGATGAGAGAAAATTATAGGTACAGTATATTAAAGCACATAGGTAGCTATGATTGATTGCAATGACAGCTTAAAATGGTAGTTGACAACAAATTGGTAGGCACAATACAGCAGAAACAATATAAGATTGATTGCAATGACAGCTTGAATGGTAGTTGACAAAAATTGGTAGTCACAATACAGCATATGGCTAGCACATAAAAGAAGACAGCAATGAACACAATGATAAGGTTGTTTGATATTACATAAAAATTAGGAGATTGGGTACCACTAGGTACAGAGCAAATGACCCAAAACTACTCAAAGCCTCCTAGCATTACTTAAATAATGAAGAAATATGGTATATTTATTCACTATAATGTTGGTGCTTAATGCAGAACACGAGAAAACATATATTTACTATAAAATAATATACTTCCATTATGAAATAAGTAAATATGTGGCCTCATAGGAAGTCAATGGTCCAGGTGTCAATGTTGTGGAGCGACTTATCCAAGATATATTGTTGTCTGGAAAGTGTTTGTTGGCATATCAACCTTCTGTACACAGTGATCCAGTCGTCGCACTTCTCTCCTTAAATGATCGCAAATTTAGTTTATTATATTAACAAGTAGAATACGTATTTCTAATAATATCTAACATAACTAGCCAGAAAATATTTAAGACTTATTGAAAAATACATGTCTGGAAGTTAAGTTTATCATGCCCGAAACGCTTTGCGTAATAGTGGCTTTAGGCATTGTATGTACTAGCTATACCTATAAGTTAAACAATCCTTGTAAATATTTATTGTATGTATGTACCTTACCTAAATAAAATTGTATTGTATTGTATTGTATTGTATTATTCGTTAGTATGCGTTCGCTACTTAAAACATTTACTGTACTGATGTAAAATCTCCCATGTCTCTTCGCACATGGAACACCGAACCTTACACACTCTCTGATATATTGTTTAATTAATAGAGATTCACTAATAAAGCTTATAATTGTATATGTTATCAAAAAGGCATAGATAAAGTCGTTCTTACGTTTTAGTCACAGAGATTAGATATTAGTAAAGTAAAGTTCATTTTATTCAGGAAAGTACATAAATAGTCGATTTACAAACATAATATTGGATTTATAGATAGAGCTAGTACATACAATACCTAAAGCCACTAGTACGCATAGCGTTTCGGGCATATTATTGAGAGAGGAAAGATATTTATTTTTAAACAATTTTTTTTTTTACCGACGCTCTCCCTATTGATGAGAACTACAACCTAATGAAGATAAATGTTAATTTTATGTAGATACTGTAATAAACGAAAGTTTTTAATGTCATCAGAGAAGCAGAAATATAGGCAAATTTTAAATCCCTTGTCATAAATATAACTGAAGTGAAAGCAAAGATATATGCATTTTGATAGTTACAAAGACAGCTCTTTAACACGGGTGGAACACGAACAAGGGGAACTTAGTACCCAAATGAGCCACAGAGATATTAGAAAGAATTTTTTCAGTGTCAGAGTAGTTAACAAATGGAATGTATTAAGCAGTGATGTGGTGGAGGCTGACTCCATACACAATTTCAAATGTAGATGTGATAGAGCCCAATAGGCTCAGGAACCTGTACACCTGTTGATTGACGGTTGAGAGTTGGGACCAAAGAACCAAAGCTCAACCCCTGCAAGCACAAATTAGGTGAATACAGCTGAGGGGCGGGACCAAACAGCTGAAGCTCAATTCCCTACGCATAACTAGGCGAGTCCATAGGAATTACCGTTTGTCCTGGCGCCATCTATGTTTTGACAGCAGTACTACTAATGTTCCCACGTTATGTGATGGTGATCGCTATACGGGTGTTACGGTCAGTTGCTCTTCTATATATGTTTATGGACAACGTAGGTGATTTGAGGCAATTTGCGGCCAGAGTGAAATAGTATCCACGCGGTGAGTGATGGAGGAGGATATATACTGCTGTGTACTCGACCAGTGGGTGAGAGGTAAGTTATATATATATATATATATATATATATATATATATATATATATATATATATATATATATATATATATATATATATATATATATATATATATATATATATATATATATATATATATATATATATATATATATATATATATATATATATATATATATATATATATATATATATATATATATATATATATATATATATATATATATATATATATATATATATATATATATATATATATATATATATATATATATATATATATATATATATATATATATATATATATATATATATATATATATATATATATATATATATATATATATATATATATATATATATATATATATATATATATATATATTTTTTTTTTTTTTTTTTTTTATATATATATATAGATATAAACAAGAGTTGTTACATTCTTGTACAGCCACTAGTACGCGTAGCGTTTCGGGCAGGTCCCTGGAATACGATCCCTGCCGCGAAGAATCGTTTTTTCATCCAAGTACACATTTTACTGTTGCGTTAAACAGAGGCTACAGTTAAGGAATTGCGCCCAGTAAATCCTCCCCGGCCAGGATACGAACCCATGACATAGCGCTCGCGGAACGCCAGGCGAGTGTCTTACCACTACACCACGGAGACTGTAAACAATTAGTCCAATTATCGAACACTTATGGGGAATAGATGGGTTCAAAGCGTAGAATGTCAGGTAACCCCATTACATTATGCCTTTAGCTGAACAAGTCTACTGGTGGGGGAAGTAGACGGGTTTTATGAAGGTATTTTACCTAAATATTTGTATTTGGTTAACTAATTCAGCCGTTACCAGGGAGGGTGTTCCTTTAATCTAATATAAAAATTCTAGCCGGACAAAGTGATTAAATAAATTGAATAGAACGAAGTGGTTTGCCAGGGTGCTTAACATTTAGTTTAGTTCACTTACTATGCAGCCCATGCTTAAAGAATGCAAGTTTATCATATTGAATTTACCGTAGTTTTACTGCATTTAATATACCGTTTTTACCCTATTTAATTATGTCGGGTAAAGGCCGGTCGTGGAAAGTTCCTAATATAACAAACTTTAAAGGAAAAGTTTGAGTTTACTTTAACGCTTAAGTTAGTGACCAATTAGCTTAGTCTATTGTGAGGAAAGTTACTAGAATCTAACATTGCAAGTGCCATTTCTCTACTCTTTTTGAGAAACATGACTAGATACATGAATCGCATAGTTTTATTACTAAATGTTCATGGATTAGGTTGCATAGTTGAGGAAATGATAAGGTTTGTGATTTTGTGTACCTTGACTTCAGCAGAGATTTTGATAGTGGTGCAAAATTGATAGGGGCTCGGATCATGGGGAATGCTGACTGAAGTGGATTAAGTCATGGCTATACCAAAGGAAATTGGTATAAATGGAGTTAAGTTGGGAGAAGTGTTGTAAGTAGTGCCTAAAAGCTCTCCTTGGACCTCGGTTATTCGCAAGATTATGGTTTAGACTGCAATAGTTGCAGAATTGGCAAATAAAAAATACCGATGCCCTATATAGTTTTGAAATGGTTAAGACTACCAGATGCAGTTTAATGCTTACAAATGTAAGGTTTGGGGGCTAGGTAAAGAAGAGATAGATGGTGTAGATTGTTAAGAGTATTAAATTTTTTTGCAGGTGGTAAATTGTCCCCGAGCTGGCACTGCTCTCCAGCCTGGGATGTTGATTGGTTAGTCTTCAACTGCCTCCCAACATGGTAGTGAGGTCCTGAGCTGACATGCAGTGAGGAACGTGGAAAGCTTCCTGAATTGGCACATGGTATGCCTCCCTTTCAAACCAGCAGCTGGCACAAATGTTCCAGCTAACATCAGAATAGTGGATGAAGCCCACACTAAAATGTAAGTGGTACAGTAAATGGACACCCCCCCCCCCCCTCCTCCCTTTTGACACTGAACAGTTCGGAGGAAGGGGGGCTTACAGTTCTATTGCTACAGAATCTTTTGCCATAAGCCAGTGGCAGTGCCTATTGGCACTTGCTATTCAGAATCATTGGAATTAGAGGGTAGAAGTTAATTGCTAAAAACCTATTAAATATTAGGGTATGGAAGTCTAGGCTTAGGCTAGTGGGTACCATATCTGCAAGTTTAGTCCTTTCAGGAATGTATTGAACAGAATGGTATGTTGAAATTGTGATGTGGGGCATTAGATCTTAAACAGCATAGTTGAGGGTGTTTTATTAATAATTTTAATGAAATATAAATCTTGTTTAGTTAACATTAAATGTTTGTTAAATAAGCTTTAATCTATAAATGTATAACACTGTTAAGGGTAATAATAAGTCAAAGTTAATGGCAGGAAAAGTTTTGTTCTAAGTGATGGTATTTTTCCCTTGAAATTAAAAAAAATATTCAATGTTTACTTTAGCTTGGTTTTAAATTTATATAGTTTTCCAGAATGTGGGTTGGAAAGTCCAGAAGTCCCTGTCAGTTGGAAGAGTTAATTAAGCAATTAAACAGAATCAGGTGAGTTGTAGTAAAGGTTAATCTGAATAGATTTGCATAAAATTAAAAAAATAGTAATAACTTAAACAATATAGCATTGGCTAAAGATAAATGTAAATTGCCATTGAAGTGCAGTTATGGATAGTTTCTCAAATGACATTTACTGAAACTTTGCAAATTGATGCCATATATATTTATATTGCTAAATTAGATCTTTACTACTGCTACTAGAATATGTAGGAAAGGTAAATTCCTTAAAGAAATTTTTTCCATCTGAATTTGTAAAGTACTGAATGCTAATTTGAAAAGTAAAGTGAGATTGGCTTTAAATCTGAAATTAATTTGTTGAAATATTTTTCAGGTGAAAGTGATTATGATGCATGGACTGAGGCTCCTTTACTCTGCAAAAGGAAATCTACAAAAGTGGGCGAGTTTGAATTTGATGTTTTAACTATATCAGTGACCTAATCTTAATTCTCTTATCTAGTCCATTTATAGGTGTGTAACCATGTCCTACTGTTACAACCCACAGGGGATGATGCAGTTTGTACTGATCCTACCCCATTTCATAAAAGTGGACCAGGCAGTCCTGCAGATTTCCCTGGCTTGGCTTTTTCAGAGCTTTGCTCTACTACCCATCTAATAGATGGACTAGATTTGCATAGGTTTAGGGACCCTTAACAATGGTTACATTGTTAATTCTCACAGGGCTTGTTTGCTGAATGGGTGGATGCATCTAAAACTTTAGTGCCTGGCATGCATTGTACAGTGCTTTCAGTAAAGCATATCTACAATGTGTTGATGGCACTAAAGTGGTGGATGTAATGCACCCATTTGGGGAACAAGCTCTGCACTACAACCAGAGGAAGGGATAGGCCTTGCTGAGCCTATCTTAAAAGATAGGCTGTTAGGATTTTTTGGGCTTATTATTAGGCATTGGTGATAATAAAAGTAGTGTCTGTTTAATGTTTATTTTTCTTTTACAGGTGATTGTCTTGGCCTTTTGGATCTTCTGTTCATCTAGGAGCATCTGTCCCACAACCTGAAATGGTAATAAATATTAGATGTATTATAAATACTATATGTAAAACTTATTAAATAAAACAATTTTAATGAAACTACTTTATATACCTTATCCTGAAATTATGCTGGAAATTGTTTACTACTATTGATGCAATGTTTAAACATCTGAAATTTTTTTTACCTTGAAAATAAATACTTGGTAAAATTTACACCTATTTGTAACTTGTTACATAGGTGCATGCAAAATGCATTGAAAATATGTAAAAGTGGACTACCTACTCAATTTACATAAACTAACAAATATTGCAAATTAGTCTGAAATATTAAAGTGGAAGAAACTTTAGTCAATATTTTAGTTTTCATATTTGAAAGTAAATTTAAAGCTATGCAACACCTAAGCTTTGTACAAATAATTTAATCAAACTAAAGATTTTTGTTAAATTTACAAAACATTAGAAAAGTGACACTGAAGCATCTATATGGTTTTCACAAAGTCTTTGGTAACTTAAATTTAATCAAAGCTCTTAAATGATTTGTCTGCCAAACTTCAGATATTCTGAAATATTTTACCTAGATTAAAACCACCATTGTTTGAAAGGGCAAAACAGATTACTGTCAATTAGTTTGACCTAACATCTGCAAGGTCCTGAAGGAATGGAATTTTTGTAAAACTGCTAAAAACAAACCCTGCCTAATGAACCTGCTCATTTTTTTTAGAAATGGTAATTGCAACATTACCAAAGGCCATTGTTTTAATAGCCAAAGTACCAAATGAAAGACCAAGAAGCAACAAACAGGTACATGGTAGAAAGGACAAAAGAATGGTTACGAGGACCCTTTCATTTGTTAAAGAAATGACTGGGGAAAAATGCTGTCATACCACAAGGGGTCTTAACCCTTGTCATATACATCACTGACATTAATCTAAATATTACCAACCACAAAAATTGCTGATAACATGTTATAAAAAATAAAGAATATAATATTGAGGCCTTAATGCAGATCTCTAACTCTACAAATAGTAACAAGACTGGCAATTTCTTAATATAAAACAAAAAATCCAAGACCTTGGACGTGAGCCAGAACAATCCATATCACAACTACCACATTAAAATGAAACAACAATGAAGGTAAGGTAATTACCAAAAGAAGGCACCAAACCGGGAAGGCCATGTAGCACCATCAAAGTGCGAAATAATCAGAGGGCGCTAAATATCACCAAGAATGCCAATACGAGAACAAAAACGCATAAGGCGAATGATATCAAAAGTATCCGATTCACCTAGAATTCTATCGAGGGACAAGTGACTGCGAGGGATGGTCGGAAAGCAAGAAACACGCTCGTCCTGGAAGTCAGGACATTCAACAAGGATATGCACAACTGTAAGAGGGACAACGCAATTCGGACAATAAGGAGCAGGGCGGCGCTCCATTAAGTGACCGTGGGTTAAGCGGGTATGACCAACCCACAGCCGTGCCAAAGCAGTGTCCCACCGCCGGTTACGGTGGTAGGAGGAAGGCCACGGGGACACACTAAGTTTGAGAGTACGCAGCTTGTTACCAACCACAGAGGACCAACAACCCTGCCAACGGGGAAGAATGAATAACAGGATAAAAGTCGGAATAAGGAAGACTGTTACGACCCTGGGTTCTCCAGTGGAAACCAGAGGTCAAAATTGAGCTATTAAACTTCCTAAGTAGTACAGTTGGCGCATTTCGAATGGAAATTGTTTGTATCTTCCCTGCCAGACGTAAGACTATTATTGTTTCTCAAAGAGCATTTAAAGACTGAGCTGGGGGTTGATTATTAAATAATAACATAGGCACCAACTTTGCTTACTAATACTTTCTAATCATTCATAAAGTAACAATACGTTGCATAGGGGAAGATCTTTAATGTGCTTAGCTGCACGATCAATTAGGCTCCTTCCGGCACCACGACATGAGGGAGGCCAGGTGGTCGCGAGGAGCTCGCTCTTCTCTTGGCTGGTGGCGTGAGGTTAAGACCTACTCTGTGGCTGTATCCCTACTCTCCTTCCTTCTCCTCTTACTTATTTCCCTTACCTGAAGTTCCTGTACCCTTAAGTTAAGTATTATATGGTGTAAGTGTGCCTACTCTGGTAGTAACGATTGGGGAGACCTGGGGATAGTATTTTGCCAGTGTTTGGGTACCCCTAAGTGTTGTGTTTTGTATTAGGGTCCCACGTGGTTTCACTACCCTAAGCTGCATCCAGCTTCAGTGCTTATCCAGTAGTACTTTACCCTAGCTTGTTATTAGTGTAAACCTTGTATCCTGCCTACGTGGACCAAGGCTTTTAACGTAAGATAGTGTGGTAAAGTTATTATTATTATTGTTATTGGTGTGAGTGTATATGGGGGGTTGTTAACGGGTTAATAAATAAGTACATGAATTACAGAGTATCTCTTCTTCCAAGGTGGGAGCGCAGTGATCAACCCTTAGACGAACATATTTGGTCTTGTAGCAAGTTATTACTACTGTGGATAGTTTATTTTGGGGGCCGGGCCTTTTAGCTCTCCCATATTTGATACTCCTGTCTTCTAACTACCTATACCCCTTAATAGTACCAGTACCCCATAGAAGCCCCACTCATATCATTTATAATAAAGACCTTTACGGGAGATGGGACAAGAACGGATAGCTTCCTTAGCGGCAGCATCCGCACGCTCATTGAAACACCAATATGGCTGGGAACCCAGCAAAACTCTACTGATTTAAATTTACTAGAAATAAGAAACAGCCAATGTTGAATCTCAATGACCACCGGATGGACAGGATTAAAGGACCCTAGAGCCATGAGGGCACTACGAGAATCAACTACAACCACAAAGGAGGAACGAGAAAGCAAGAGACGAAGAGCATAGAGAATAGCATAAAGTTCTGCTGTAAAGACGCTAGCCTCCGAAGGGAGGCGACACATGTAAGTACGGTCAGGAAAAACAACAGAGTAGCCCACACCATCCGCAGACTTAGACCCATCAGGGAAGATGGAAATAGAGTGGGAGTGCGAATATGTCACATCCTGGTCAGGACAACTTGCTTGATTGTTATTCTTGGTGTGACTCGAGAACTGACTTTGAGGCGGGGCATGGGCATGGATTATCTCCCTGGGGCACGCACCTCCCTGCCCCAGCTCTCTCTCTCTCTCTCTCACATAATCTATCAAGGGTCTAACATGAGGTCATTGTGCCTACCAGAAGTGTATATGTCCAAGGCTGGCCACCTGTCTGGACCATTCAAATGTATAAACACGTAATTAGTCTATTAAAATTATATATAATGCTACAATTATAAATTAATTTGTTCATGGTCATTCGTTTATCAGTATTTTAATATGAGGTATATATACGCATGTATGTATACGTTGACGTACACATATATGATTATGTGTATGGAATGATTATGATTATGTGTAATCATATATGATTATATCTAATGGAATGCATTAGTAAGTGATGTGGTGGAGGCTGACTCCATACACAGGTTCAAGTGTAAATATGATAGAGCCCAATAGGCTCAGAAACCTGTACACCTGTTGATTGACGGTTGAGAGGTGGAACTAAAGAGCCAGAGCTCAACCCCAGCAAGCACAATTAGGCGAGTATATGAACGAATGCACATGTACACTTTCAAATGAATTAAGATACCTTGAGATACACAATGACTTAGTTTAAATAGTTTAAACACATTATGGTACTGATTTTGACATGCTGATGTCTGGAAGGGAGAGGGGGTGTGGGGGGTTATTGTCTGAGGTGGAGGACCAGAGGAGGGGGTCAGTGGAAGGATGGTGGCTGGAGGGATGCCATTGTTCTAATGGTTATGAAAACAATTATTGATGGCAGGAATTCAGTGGGTGTGTACTTCACCCGCACCATCACCATACTGTGCCCTGCTACAACCCCCCCCCCCCCACTCCACCCATGCTGTGCGGGGCTTATTACACATTATGGGATAACCGACTGTCTGTCCATTCCTGTCTGCTCGTTATGCTGCCCTTCCTTTTGAAAATTGTCTGCTTTATCGACTTCCTTCAAGACCACACGTTAGCCTCTTATCACGCCCTCTTACCACTCTCAGGGAGCCGGCTCTTCTATACAATAGTTACCACTCAGTCCCCAAATACGAGTATAGGAAACGAAGAAATATAACACTTACTCTAAATGGTGTGGAACTGAGCCGTGTACAGAAGTACAAGTATCTGGGCATGTATGTTGGATACACATGTGAGAGTAAAAATGCTGAAATAAATCATATCAGCACCTTATGTAAAGCCCGTCTGCATCCTCTAAAAGCACTGGCTTTTTCTGGTAAAGGTGTTGGGGTACCTATCTTGCGGATGTTATACATAAGCACTGTTCGA